AGGATTTCATTTCAGTGATGCTGGTCTTTTGTTAATCACAGCTGATTCTTCAGCTCCGGCTAGATCCTTAATTTAAATACAGCACACGAACACCTCTCAAGCTAGGCTTCCGTCCTCTGCATTTCTTTCAGCGCTCTTACCTTCTAAGCTTTTGTAGAACAGCCCACTAGGCTTGGAACTCTCTGGCTTTTCTAGTCCAAAGTTCCAAATACTTCCACAATCCTTCCCAAACCAACTTAATCAAGTCTATCACAGCAATACCCTACTCTCTGGCACTAATTTCTGTATTAGTTATTTTTCTGTGGTTGTGATAAGACACTATGATTAAAAGCAACTTAAGGAAGAAAGTTTATTTGGGATATAGTTCCAGAGGGATAAGAATCTGTTAGGACCAAGAAACATGGAGCAAGCAGCAAGCCTAACAGCCAGAGCAGGAAGCTCATAGCTTACATCCTCAACCACATAAAATGAAGCAGAGAGCACGAAGTGTAAGTAGCCCAAGGCTTTAAATTCTTAGCCTGCCTCTAGTGATGTACTTCCTCCAAGTCTGTACCAAGTCTTCAACCTCTCCAAACAGTGCTCCCAACTGGGGACCAAGTGTTCAAATACCTGAATCTATGGTGGCTTTTGTCCTTTAGACCACCACATGGGGCCTTCATGTATGTAGCACAAGTCTCTCAGGCTGCAGTTCCTGTTGTAACATTCAGTTACTTCTGGCTCACTTGTTCAGGAGTGATTTTCAGAAAGGCAGGATGGCTCTAACCTCAAAGGGGAAGTAGTAGGCTTCCTAGGTTGAAGGGCAGGATGAAGGTCTTCAGGCAGCACCAGGTAGCCAAGCTTGCCAAACTCAAACTCCATGTTACTGAATGCCTGTCAGCCCTAGCTTTGGGGAGAGTGATAGACTAGGTTTGTGTATTACTAGGAGACAGGATTTAAAACAATTTTTTGTTGTTTTGAAATAAAGTATCACTCTGTAGCTCTGGCTCCCACCTCAGCTAGCTAGGATTAAAAGTTTTTAATATGGAGTAATAAGTATATGCAGTAGTGATGGCAGGCCAAACTCAAGTTGCCAGAACTGGGCAGGGCCTGCTTGTCTTGGAGTTCTTCTCTCCTTGTGCTGATCTGGTCTGGCCGGAGTGCACTGAGGCTTCTGCTTTCTTTCAGGGAGCAAAGCTTATACTGGCTTGCTATCCAGCAGCTTCCCACGGACCCTATAGAAGAACAGTTCCCTGTCCTGAATGTGACCCGGTACTATAATGCCAATGGAGATGTGGTGGAAGAGGAAGAGAATTCCTGTACCTACTATGAGTGTCATTACCCTCCTTGTACAGTGATTGAGAAGCAGGTATGGTATGCTACGCTGCATCTTGGCTACCTCTGCCCAGCGGTATGGGTGTAATGTGGCAGCTTTTTCCTGTAGACACCTGGGTAGCGCTGGGTGATTCTTCCTTTGCTGTTGTTTCTGTCCAGACAGGGGCATAGGCTCTTCAGCTACAGTGCCTGTATACTCTTTCTCTCTCTCTGTCTCTGTGTGTGTGTCTGTGTCTGTCTGTCTGTCTGTCTGTCTGTCTCTCTCTCTCTCTCTCTCTCTCTATGTGTAACTTTTGAGATGGGATCTTAATCTATAAACCATCCTGGCCTGGAACTCACTAGATATATAGATCAGACTGGTTCAGATATCACCACAGTCCTGCATCAGACATCTTAGTGCTGGTATTACAGGAGTGAACCACCGTGCCTGGCTTTTTTTTTAGGGGAACAGGTGAACAGGTGCTGGGGCTTGAGTCCAGCCCCTTGCATGCGGACCATATGCTGAATTTCATTCCCATGTAGGGTTTTAATTGCATTTTTCAAGATGCTGAGATATAGTTTCCATACATTTTGTTAGTGTGATATTGAAGCCAGAGTGTTTTGTGTTTCAGCTTCGGGAGTTCAACATCTGTGGGCGTTGCCAGGTGGCACGATACTGTGGCTCTCAGTGCCAGCAGAAAGACTGGCCTGCCCACAAGAAGCACTGTCGGGAGAGGAAGCGTCCCTTCCAGCATGAGCTTGAGCCAGAGCGATGACGGGCTGAAGAGCTGCTACTGTTGCAGGTTCAAGGTTTCTAGCTCGTCATGAGCACAGTGGAAGACAGACTGGAGGTGCCAAAGAAGCCAGCAATGGATCCAGAGCAGCTGCCATAAGACCTCACAGCAACATGAAGCCTGTGGGGACAGTGCCCCTCCAGTGTTCACCCCCAGCAGAGACAACGGGGAGGCTCCCTAGGACCTTTCTCATTATTTATATGTTAATATGTTTGTAAACTCATGTACAGTTTTTTTGGGGGGGAGGTAAGGGGAGGGTTAGAAACTTCAAATAGAATCATTTGTTGTATTCCTCAAATGGTAAACAGTCGACACTCGGCTAGAAACTGTCATGTAGTCGAGCTTCTCTCCTGGGCAGTGGGGATCCCACTGAGAGGCTTGCACAGAGTCATGTCTAAACAGGCAGAGTAAAGGGGTAGAATCATCCTTGTGGCCAGTCTTTGCTCAAACCCCTATTGTCCAGCCTCCCCCCTTCCCCTTGAGACAGTGTCTCTCCATGCAGTCCTGGCAGTCTTGGAACTCGATGTGTAGATTGGACCGGGCTGGCTTTGAACTCAAAGAGGTCCAGCTGCCTCTGCATCCCAAGTGCTGTGATTAAAGGCGTGTACTAACACGCCTGGCTCAGCTTTATTTTTGAGAAGAACTGAGTATAATGGAACTGATTATAATACTAGACCAGGAAGTCCTGCCATCACTCCAGGTTGGCCTCTGAGCCGCAGAGTATGTTAGCTAGGAGCACAAGGAAGACTTTTCTGTGTGGTGGCAGGTGCTATGGTGTGTTCCAGTAGGCTGGCTACTGTTTTAGTTACTAAAGGGTACTTGTTTTAGTTAGGGTTTCTATTGCTGTGATACAGACCCCATGACCTGTACAGAAGAGGGATTGTTTCATCTTGCAGTTCCATATCACTGTCCATCACTGAAGGAAGTCATGACAGGAAGTGAAGTAGAGGCCATGAAGTACTGCTGCTTATTCGTTTCCTCCTCATGACTTGCCTAACCTGCTTTCTTATAGCACCCAAGATCACCAGCTCAGTGCTTGCACTGTCCACAGTGAGCTGGGCCCTCCCAAGTAAATCAAGAAAATTCAGGACAGGCTTGTCCACAGTTCAATCTAGTGGGGGACATTTCATAATTGCTTTCTTCCAAAATGACTCTACTTTGTATCAAATTGACATAAGACTAGCCAGCACAGTACTATATATCCCTACATTTGTAAATCATCACCTTTAGGCACAGAGATCCTTGAAGCCAGTAGTATACTGCTGCCCCAGTTCCAATTGTGGGTTGGAGTAGATGGGTTGGGGTCTAGGCAGCCAAAGGGGAGCCAGTGCCTCATTCACTGCAGAGGTGTGGTTTCCAGGATAGCACTGTGTTCTTTGGGAGAACCACAGGTGTCTGAGGGCTGTTTGGTATCTTGCTCACTTTGCAGAAATGATCTGTATGACTGGAACCTTATCTCAGGGTATGGTCCTTTGTTCTTCAAGCTTCCTTCCTGACTGCTGGCCTTCTGGTTGGTGTGCAGGTCCCTGCTCTACTCTCCCCTGTTGCGTTTCTATCACATTCCTTGATTCTCTGTGCTCAGTGCTGTTCTGGCAGAGCACAACCCTTTGATGGCCTTATGTTTATGAGTAGCATCTCTGTGACTGTTTCTGCTTTTATGGTACACAGTGGCCTGGAGGGAAGATAACTGAAACTCACAGTGGCACCATTCCTTGAGTGTTTAAGCTTGCAGAGGTGCCTATGTCAGACCTATACCAAGAAACACCCTTTTCTGTTCTGAAGGCCATGGTGGTTTTTAGCTAGCATAGTTGGGATTCTGGCTCAGATCCTAGGTTGAACATCAATCTTTGTGATGTCATTGGGGTGGGGAGATGTGTGTATATATTGTAAAATATTGCTACCGACAGCAGCTGACTTGAGCCCTCCATGTCTCCATTTGGATAAACTAAGTGGTTAGGACTGTTGTGGTAAAGGGTTCCTATGTGGGTCAAATTTCTTGGTTTACAAGCTGTGATATTTGTATCTTTAAGAATAATGGCCAGGAGCCGATCAATGGTGGCGCATGCCTTTAATCCCAGCACTCGGGAGGCAGAACCAGGCGGATCTCTGAGTTCAAGGCTAGCCTGGGCTACCAAGTGAGTTCCAGGAAAGGCGCAAAGCTACACAGAAACCCTGTCTTGAAAAAAAAAAAAAAAGAGGCCAGGTTGGGCCTTTATCCTGTCCTTGTCCCCTGACCAGCAGGGGCTTCTTTACTCTGCCAGCTTTGCATCAGAAAATTCCACTTAGAGAGCACTCAAGGTTGAGCAACTGACCTAGAGGCATTGCTGGTAAAGGTGATGGAATACATTGGGCTTGCCTGTGGTTCTTTCCATCAACTCTTCTACACCTGCTAGCGCAGATGCTGCTGTGCAGGGAAGGGGTATATCAGGTCATTTTTGTTGTCTTTCCATGTCTGTTACCACCCCAACCTCCCCTTCTGATTATCCTATCTCTTGTTCTTTGTAGCTGCTTGTCTAGGCTGTTCTATGAACGTTCCGGTAGTTCAATTATGGAATCTTTTCTCCCTTCTGTACTGTGTTGGGCTATTTGACCTTGGAATAATCTAGTGCTGGAGGGATTGAGGTCTAAGTGCCTCCTCTGCTTCAGCTGCTAACTTGCCTGCAAGCTGGGTGTATAGCCATATCCCGGCTTCATTTCCCAGGCTGGAATCCCAGGTGTCCTGTGAATTTTCTTCCTGAAGCTGCTGTAACTAAGTGCCAAAAACCGGTTGGACTAAAACTAGAGATTATTGTCTCCCGGGTCTGTTTCATGGTTTAATCAAGGTGCTTGCTGCTACAGCCACTGCAAGTGCTGGGGAAGGATGCTGCAAATCTCTGCATCTGACAACCTTCTGGGCTCATTTATGCATTGTTTCAGACTTCAAAGGGCACACTCTAAGTCCTCTGCATGTTTCCAAGTTTTCCTTTACACGAAGACTAATATTGGATCAGAGCTTACCCAGAGCATCATTTTGCCGCTGTAAAGACCACATTTCCAACGGTCATGAATTACTGGGGTTAATTTCAACATACATACATTTTTGGAACATAGTTGGATCCACAAGGTGTAAAAACCTCGTTTCCCCAAACCTGTTACAATACAGGAATTTTCTTGAGGGCTTCTACATCTTCTTGAGATCAGGTTTTTCTTCCTCTTTCCCTAAGCCTGTGCTTCTTGCTCCCCACCCCTAGCAAGACTATCAGTTTCCTGCGGTCCTCCGGTTGGTAGGGGGCGCAGCAGCTCCGCTGTCTCTCCGGACCGGAAATCTCTTCCCTGGGTCTGATGTGACTGAGGAAAGTGGAGAGGCTGTGTCGCGCACGCATCTTCTGACTCGATGGCGGGCAGCGATTCGGGGACGCTGCAGGCTCTGCAGGCAGTGGACACTGAGTTTACTGCGGACTCGGTAGAGTGGTGCCCAGTAGAGGGTTGCCAGCACCTTATGGCCTGTGGAACCTACCAGCTGCGAACGCCGGAGGACCAGGTGCACGCCTGGGAGGGTGAGGCCGGGCCAGGAGGAGAGGGACTGCTGGCCTCCAAAAAGCCTAGAACTGTGAGAAGTAATGGGAAAGTAAAGTGGGGCATTTCAGGACCGTGCTTATCTCCGGAAGGTTTCTCTGAGCACCCAAAACCAACGACATAAGAGTGGAACTGGCCATGTAACTGCAGGCAGGTCGGGACCGTCCTGGCTTTACTGGGTCCGGGAGAGATCCCCTGTTCATTGAACACTTGCAGGAAGAGATTCTTTTCTCAGAAGTTGAGAGTTTTTACTTCAGGCAGAAGCTATTCTCTCCCTATCCTGGCCCTTTATTTTGTTCCCCATCCTTTGTAATCTCAGTATCTGTTAAGGTAACCAGAGAATATGTATATTCTGTAGCCTGCACTGGATGTCAGTGAGCCTCAAGTTCGTTTAGGTCGTCTCTACCTGTATAGTTTCAATGAGGACAACACGGCTAAACCTCTGGTTGAGGTCCAAAGAAGGGATTCTTCTGCCATCCTGGACATGAAATGGTAGGATTTGGGTAACCTCATCTGGTCTGACAGACTAATGATGCCCTAGGGGCCTTCAGTGAGACAAGGGAACTGAACTCTGGGTTCCATCATTTGCTGCCCTTGGGAGGTAGAAAGCTCTGCTTGACGTGTCCCTGGTCAGTTTCCCAGCCCCAGTGTCAGAATTAGTCTGGGAAGCAACTCAAGTTCCAGTTTTATAACCTGGAAAGCCTTTGTTTGGAGACAGAACAGTTAGTTGGCTCTAACCTGGTTTTGGAAATGAAATATAACAAATCATTGGAATCCATGATACTCCTCCAATCTGTGAATGCATACTTTTTTCTGTGATCTCCCATCAGGTGCCATATCCCAGTGTCTGGCCACATACTTTTAGGCTTGGCAAATGCCAGTGGATCTGTAGAGCTGCTCCACCTGATGGAATATGAGGTCAGTAATGGGCCATGCTTTAATGGGAAAGGGGCCTTAGTGGAGGGGTCTGTACTGATGCGGGCATTTTCCTAGAATGGTCTCTTCCATGACAGACTTTGTCATGAATGTTTTAAGAAATCATGGAGCTGGGCGGTAGTGGCACATGCCTTTAATTCCAGCACTCGGGAGGCAGGGCCAGGCGGATCTCTGTGAGTTGAGGCCAGCTTCATCTACAGAGCGAAATCCAGGACAGGCATCAAAACTACATGGAGAAACCCTGTCTCAAAAAACCAAAAAAAGGGGCTGGAGAGATGGCTCAGAGGTTAAGAGCACTGACTGCTCTTCCAGAGGTCCTGAGTTCAATTCCCAGCACCTACATGGTGGCTCACAGCCATCTACGTGTAATGAGATCTGGCGTCCTCTTCTGTGTACATAATAAATAAATAGATCTTTAAAAAAAAAAAAAAAATCATGGAATCTATTTTAAGTTATACTGGGTTCTGATGACATGAGGTCACCTGGAGTGTCTCAATAGAAGACGGTCCATAGGTCTGGGTTTCTGTAGGGAATGCATTGCAAGCATGTATGGAGTTTATACCAAGGCTAAGAATACCAGTAAATTTCTCATGTGGAAAAGATTTTGTTTTTATTTTTAATTGTGTGAGTGTGGATTTGTGCATGCCCACAGAAGCCAGATGAAGGTGTCAGGTCCCCTGGAGCTGGAGTTCCAGGCAGTTGTTAGCTGCCTGATATGGATGCTGGGAACTGAATTCATCCTATGGAAGAGTAGGAAGAGCTTTAAACACTGAGCCATTTTTCTAGCCCAGAAATGATATTTCTTACGAGTATTGGAAGAGCTAACTTCCTAAGTGATTTTTCCCCCCAAGTGTTTCACAGTAATCCTGTGCCATGCTTTTGCAAAATGGCTTTTGTAGCATGAGTCTTAAAAGTTCTTATTAATAAAATCAAACCTGAGCCAGTTAATGGTGTGAACACTGGAAGGTCAGAGAGACAGAACAAGCCACAGCTAACCTCACCTGGCCAACTTCTCGGCTGGTCTTGTTTCCTCAGACTGGAAGCTTCTGTGTCCTCATCCCAATGGCTCTCAGCTGAACTGCTGCTAGAAGCCTGAATGTTTAACAAGCCAAATGCTTAACCAGGCCAAATGCTTCTAGTTTCTGGTCCTCACGCCTTATAAACCTTTCTGCTTTCTACCACCACTCCCTGGGATTACAGGCTGCTTTCTGGGATTAAAGGCGTGAGTCACCATGCCTGACTGTTTCCAATGCAGCCTTGAACTCACAGAGATCCAGAGGGATTTCTGTCTCTGGAATGCTAGGATTAAAGGCGTGTGCTAACATTTTCTAGCCTAAGTATCTTGTGGCTTTTCTGTTCTCTGACCCCAGATAAGTTTATTAAGGTACACAATATTTTGGGGAACACAATACCACCACAAACTTTATCTGATTATTAGGAAGGGCCCGAACCAGATCTGTGGGGTAGAGAAGTACATCAACAAACTACAGTCTGCCCTAACTGGGGGCAGGGACAGACACTAATGCTGTTGCTATCATGGGGTCAGGGAAAAGATCTAGAAGGTGCTGACTGGTGGCAACTGAGCACCTGGGTAGAAAGTCTTGCTTCAGGCCTGTACAATGCAGCCTTGTCCTAGAAATGAGGGAAGGAGGACTGGTCCTAAGGATCAGATTTCAGGCAGGAGCACAAAATCCAAGACTTTGGTACAGTGACCTGCTTATGGAGTCAAACACTGTTCAGGTGGTTTAGATAAAACTCACATAGATCCTACACAAGAGAAATAACATTTTAAAGACTGTTTTGGCCTCTGAAAAGGAAACAGCAGTGCATTTCTATTCTCCTTGTCTCTGGGAATAGAATGTGCCAGGATTCTGAAGGCAAGGGTGATGCAGAGCATGTCCCAGCAGTAGTCTGTGGAGCCCACAAAGGTGACTGATGTGTCTAGCAGTACATAAAGGCAGCACTGAGAAACATTTTTGCCCAAAGGTTATATATATGGCAAAGTCCTTAAGTTATAAGTTTCCATGTCCTCAGGTGCTGCCCTGTGCTTGGTAAGTGGCAAGAGCTCACTCTTTGATGAAATGTTAATTAGGGGCTGAGAGTAGAGCCTGGTGGCAGACTGCTTGCCTAGCATGCAGGAGCCTGGAGCGCCATCTCCAGCACTATTAAAGCATAAATAACAGCAACAAAAACTGAGGCAAGGCAGAGCCTGCCTCTACTCCCAGTTCTTGGGGAGTTGAAGGGAAAGAATTGCTTGAAATTGAAAGTTCAAGATGAACCTGAGCAACCTAGGAGACCCTATCTCAAAAAACAAACAGAAGTACCTGATGCACGTTGCTCATATAGGGAGCACTGTAAGGGAATGGAGGTTTGCCTCGACCAAGTGTTCCTTTTCTCTCCAGTAGAAGAACAGTTACACCCTGCAATCAGTTTCCAGCCTTACCCTGGAGGAGAGATGTCTGTCCTTGTCCCTGGATTGGTCAACTGGGAAACCTGGAAGGTAAGGGTCAGGTTTGGTGGGGGTCTGAGTCTCCTGAGGAACAATTCCTGTTTCTATTCCAAAAATTAAAGCTACCTTCTACTAGCTTGGTTCCCCAAACCTGGATGTTACTGTCAGTCGTAACCTTAAAACAGAAAATCAGAGCATTTTAGATAAGTAGTGATGATGCCATCATCAAGAGAAACTAGCCAGGGTTTCAGTGACAAGCTATGTGACAGTTTCATCCTTTGCCAGATACCCAAGAGGCCATCTTGGAGGCATGGTTACATGCTGCCTGAGAAATATCTCCTGTGGCATATATGAGGATTAGAAGAGGATGGTTGTATCGGTTCTTTCTTGTAAATGCCAGCATTCAGGAGGCTGAGGCAGGTGGATTTCAAGTGTAAGGCCCACCTGGGCTACGTGGAACCTGTCTCAAAAACAAACAAACGAAAACCAGAAAAGGATGGTAAGTAGAGTTTAATAGGCTCTCCATGGGCTCCTTGTTTCTAGGGTCAGAAACCAGCCCTTGAAGATCATTAGCAGTGATTCTAAGGGGCAGCTGCATCTCCTGATGGTGAATGAGGGAGTGGCTGAACTACAGCTTGTGGCTTCATGGCCAGCCCATCACTTTGAGGCCTGGATTGCTGCTTTCAATTACTGGCAGACAGAACTCGTGTATTCAGGTGAGTTGGACATCAGTATAGTCATCTCTGATGAAGACTCATGAAGGACAGGGAGAGGAGAGAATGGGGCTAGGCCAAAGCTGTGCTTCAGAGTATCTGAGACCTTAGGACTGTCTATGGGAGGTGTGAAATCTGTTCTCATCTACTTTTTGTCTGCTCTCTGTAGACTTTGTCACATTGATTTCAGTTTTGTCCTTTTCTAGATATAGCTTACTTTCCAAAAATAAAGGAAGCATGAGGGAAACAGGTAGATTTCCTAGTTTTTGAGTGGTTTATCACTTTGGGCTGGTTGTATGAGAATGAGAAATTAACAAAATTAGCCATTTTGAGTGCCTTCTCTTCCAGGTCAGCTAAGTCTTGTGAGCTAGAAGGGATGGTCTTAGAGAAGACAGGATAAAATTTAAAACACTTGAGATTCCCAGGACCTTGTATGGTCTAGCCCCAGCTCCCCTTTTTGGTCTTGTTTGTTTTGTTTTTTTGAGACAGGGTGTGTCTGTGTAGCTTTGACTGTCCTGGAACTCACTATGTAGCATGACCTGGAATTCACAGAAATCCACCTGCTTCTGCTTCCAGAGTACTGGGATCAAAGGTGCATACCATGCTTTTGGTTCTGTTTCTAGTGAGAAGCCTGCCCCAACACTACCTTCACTAGCCCAGTCCATGTCAAATCTCTCATGGACCCCAGCATTTACCATGATTATTGTTATATGTGTAATGCTTTTTTTTCCCCCAGGGGCAGGGTCCATATCTGTTATTTGCTATCATACTCTTGAACGATTTTTGTAAGAACCATGAAGAGTTCATTTTTAAAGTTTTTTTTTAGTTCACACCCCCTATTTTTTAAGTTCTTTAATTCTAGGATTAGTTCTACCTCTATTCACTCAGCAGGTACTTACTGAGCTTTTAATGGAGGCTCAATCTGTAATCCCAGTACTCGGGAGGCTGAGAAAGTATTGCTGTGAGTCTGATGTTAGTCTGGGCTGCCTGCTTAGCCAGACTATCTCAAAACCACACACTAACTTTCATTTCCTCCAACCAAAACAATTGAAACAAAACCCCCCAAAACCAAAACAACCCCCTTCCAAACTAAAAACTAAAACCAAACAGATCCACAAACAGAAATACAAGCAGTTAATGTAACAGGGAGACTTTAGCAAACAGACTGTTTTCTCCAAGCTTACATTGAAGGGGAAAGGGGAACCTAATGTGCAGTAACAGGGAATTGCATGGTGTGTCAGAGGTGTGATAATGTTCTGGAAAAAAGAAGAAGAGTGTGCTGGAGAGCTATGTATGCTCTGAGCGGTGGCCCCACAGCAGGTGTGGGTCTACTGTGGGAGAAGAGCAGCCGCACAGCCAGTGTGGAAATAGAAGGGCTTGCCATCAGAGACAACAGGGCAGGCCACAGAGGGGCCTGGAATGAAGTGGAGTAACTGCAAAGAAGTGACATTTTCTGACTTAGAGTTTAAAGTTTAGGAGGCGCTCTGGTTAATTACAGATTACAAAGAGGAGGGCCGAGCCTGGGCCCGTTAACCAGAGGAGAGTAAGAGTGGCTTTTACTGGGGTCTGCAGAGATGGCTCAGCAGTTAAGTGCACTGGCTGCTCTTGCAGAGGACCCAGGTTCAGGTCTCAGCAGCCACATGGCAATTCACAACTGTCTGTAACTCCAGCTCTAGGGGATCTGATGCCCCTTTCTGGTCTCCATGGGCAATAGGAAATCGCATGGTGTATATACATACATGTAGGCAAAACGCAAACATACAACTTTGGAGACAGGGTCTCACTATGTAGCTCTGGCTGTCTTGTCTTGGAACTCTCTATGTAGATCAGGCTGGCCTCAAATTCAGAGATCCGATTGCCTCTGCCTCCTGGTCCTCTGGTGGGATTAAAGGTGTACACCACCAAAAAGAAAAGAACAAGAATGGTTCATACTAAGTTGGGAGAAGTAGAGGTGAGAAGTGTATTTGGGATCCATGTAAAGGCAGATCCAGTTGGATTTCCTGATAAAGATGGAGTGTATGCGTGTGTATGTGTGTAAATGTAATAGAACAAGGGAAGAACACAGTCCTCTATACAAATTTGCCCAGGAACCATGGTTTATATTTTAGGTTCACCTGGCTTCATGCCTAGCTCAGCTTATCTGCTGTTCCACTTAATTGTAGACCATGTGCTTACTCCATATCCTTTGTGTCTACTGCAGGGATCTATAGTAAATACCTATTATATGGGCATATGGATAGTTGGTGGGTGGTAGGTGCTGGATATGTGGGGAATGGATGAATGTGAGATGGCAGATGAATGATGGAAAGTAAGTAAATTGATGTGTAAGTGATGGGTGTGATACTGGGTGGATAGTGGATGGATGGATGATTGGATAATGGGTGAATAGTTAGTGAGTAAAGTAGACACTGCTCAGTATTTTCCCTCTCCCTTCTTCACCCTGCTTTTGGGCCCTGCTCTTGATTGAGTCTTTTCCTCCTGTCAGGATGCTGTTTTTTACCTTCTGCCTGGCATTGCTTTTCTTTAAAGACTAGTTGTTGACCAAGAGGCTAGTTGTCCTACTGTTTTTTTTAGTTTTCATAAAACGAGCACAGGACTTTTTTTTTGGTTGTTGTTAAGAGTGTGTGTGTGTGTGTGTATGTGTGTGTGCACATGTACAAGCCCCTTTGAGGCCAGAAGAGGACATCTTCTGGAGCTGGTGTTACTGGTGGTTTTAAGCTACCTGATGTGGGTGCTAGGAACTGAACTTGGGTCCTCTGTAAGAGAAATACATGTTCTTAACCACTGAGATGCCTCTCTGTTCCCAAGGGTCTTTTTTTTTCCTTTTTTAATTTGCATAGCACATTTCCCTTTGCCGCCCATAGTGTGCTGAAGGGTCCAGAAGGACCTACTGTAGTCCCATGCCCACTGCTTCTTTCATGTTGCTCCTTGGCAGGAGTCTTGGATATGGACACTCTGGCCCTGGACAGCTGGGGGTCATGATACTAGAATCTTCCTGGAAGGTCTTATGGCCAGATATGACTCAGCAGTCACTCTCATGATTAGGATACCCAATGTCATACCACTTTTTTTTGTTTTGTTTTGTTTTTGTTTTTTTCAAGACAGGGTTTCTCTGTGTAGCTTTGCACCTTTCCTGGAACTCACTCTGTAGCCCAGGTTGGCCTCCAACTCACAGAGATCCACCTGGCTCTGCCTCCCAAGAGTGCTGGGATTAAAGGCATGTACCACCACTGCCCGGCTGTCATACCACTTTTAATTCTTCTTTTTATTATTATAAATAATAAACACAGTCTGAGAATGGAGTCATGTGAGAATTCTGAGTGCTTGTGAGAAAACTCCAAGAAAACAAGACAAGAGTCTTGTGACCTCAGTTTCTTCAAAAGCATGGAATTGTTCTTGGATTGTGCTTTTGTGCCCCTCAGGTGTAGTGGATAGGAGTTAGTGTACTTTAGATTATTCATTACAGCTGGCTATTGTTATTTGTTTACATGCCTCTATGGGAAACCATGTGTTTGTGTGTGTGGCTTGCCTGCCACATGCAGCTTGCCCTCGTGACTGTACATTTTAGTCATGTGACTTCTCTTAACCCTCTGAGTATAAATTGTCTGATGATCTGAATAAAGTTGGCTACTGCATGAGACTTTAGTCTGCCTCATTTATCGGTTCCATTCTCCCAGGTCCAAATGTCTCTAGAGTGGTAAACAGCGCTTTGATCTTCTACCCAGGTGCCCTCAATTGGAAGATAGAGTGCCTAGTGACTGTTTCTGATGTTCTCTCTGGGGCTTTCCTAACAAGTGTCCAAGTGTCACTATAAAATTACACATGAAAGGCACCTAAGAGACTTTCTTACAGATTCCTTTCTTTCTTCCTTTCTTCCTTCCTTTCTTTCTTTCTTCCTTCCTTCCTTCCTTCCTTCCTTTCTTTCTTTCTTTCTTTCTTTCTTTCTTCCTTTCTTTCTTTCTTTCTTTCTTTCCTTCTTTCTTCCTTCCTTCCTTCCTTCCTTCTTTTTGGTTTTTTGAGACAGGGTTTCTCTGTGTAGTCCTGACTGTCCTGGAGCTCACTCTGTAGCCCAGGCTGGCCTCAAACTCACTGAGATCCACCTGCCTCTGCCTCCCAAGTGCTGGGATTAAAGGCGTGCGCCACCACTGCCCGGCTCTTGCAGATTCCTTATTAATGTCATTGTTGATGGACTTCTCTGTCTTCCCACAGGGGGAGATGACTGCCTTCTGAAAGGCTGGGATACTAGGATGCTTGGCACACCTGTCTTCACTAGCAAAAGGTACTGGTCAGAGCTTGGGCATGACTGTCTATGCTCCTATCTTAGGGCATTTCATCCTCTACCATGTTTGTTCCACTTTGCCTACAGACACTCCATGGGTGTGTGCAGCATCCAGAGCAACCCCCATCAGGAACATATACTGGCTACTGGAAGGTGAGTCCCTGGAGTGGGTCCGCTGGTTTGTGCATTTCTCACCTCCTCTCCACAAGGACTTCAAAATTGAGTCCAAAGCTCTCAACCAACCCACATTTCAGGTGTCTGGGTCCAGAAAGTGGGGTATGTCCTTAAAGATAATTGGAATAGGCAGTTTGTGCAGGACTTTAACCCCAGCACTAGGGAGGCAGAGGCAGGTGGGTCTTTGTGAGTTTCAGGCCAGCCTGATCTGTATAGTAAGTTCTAGGTCAGCCAAGGCTTCATAGTGAAACCCTGTCTCAAAGAAAACTGGTGGGACAGGACCTGGGAGGTGCTTGCTGCTACTCCACATCTTGGGGAAGATGTGGGCATGAGCTTTCCTGTATGCCAATGACTGGATGGTTGCAGCTATGATGAGCATGTTCTGCTGTGGGACACTCGGAACATAAAGCAGCCATTGGCAGACGTGCCGGTGCGAGGAGGCGTGTGGAGGCTCAAGTGGCACCCAGTCCACCACCACCTGCTCCTGGCGGCCTGCATGCACAACGGCTTCAAGGTTCTCAACTGCCAGAAGGCCACTGGTGAGTGGGGACAGAGCTGGCCTCAGGGGAGGGAGGCGGTTGATTTTCTCCATAGGCCACACCCAGAACTTGTCACAGCCCCGCCCGATACCTGTATTGGACCTCAGTTTCAAGAACCCGCTTTCATCCCGGCTTCCTCATGCCCGGTTCAGTTGTATAAGTCTTCTGCATTGTGCAGTTCTCTGGCTCCCCTGGGATCCTGTCCAGAAGTATCACCACTTGTCGCATGGCCATCCTTGCCCTGCCTTCTCTGATTTTCCTACTTGTGAACAGCTTGGATTCCAATCTAGCCTGCCTCACCTGTGTTGCCTTCCCCCTGTTCCCTTTCTCACAGGTATTAGTTAAGCCTAACTCTGTCAGTGGCTGTAGGGAATGAGCCTCACTTCTAGGGGGTGCTGTGGAAGTTCTTGCATTTGTTGGTGAGCCACAACGTGAAGTCACATGATCAGAACCATTTCTCACCCCCCTTTCTCTTTCCAAGCCTTAACTCCGTCCTCTCCTCATTCTCGGATCACAGTTTCTCTTTATCCCTCTCCCTCTATTCTCCCTCTGAAAAGAAGCAATCTGAAGACTACCTCAGGATCCCATCTTTAAATTGCTAGTCTTTAAGTCACTACTTTCTTGTATCTTTTTAGTTCTCTCTCTCTCTCTCTCTCTCTCTCTCTCTCTCTCTCTCTCTTTCTCTCTTTAAAAAAGATTTCTTTAAATTTGTGTGTGTGTTGCAGACAGGCTCTCATGTAACACAAGCTAGCTTCAAATTTGATATGTATTTGAAGCTGGCCTTGAACTCAGAGGCAATCCTCCCGTCTCAGTGTCATGGGTACTGGGACTACAGGGACAACCATATCTGGTGTCCCTGCTGGTTCTTGGGGATCGCTTTTACCAGCTATCACCTTGCTCCTGGACCGTGGGCCTCCTCTGTCCTTCATGTCCTCAAAGAAACTTCCTTTCTCTGTCCGTAATATCTCTTCCATGATGTTGTGACTCTATACCATTGCAGTGTGTCCTGGCTTATTTCTGACACATTCCTCATCTGCGGGGCTGTCAGGGAAGTTATTAGAAATTTCTTCTGCAGACCTACGCAGGACTACACGTTCCTAGCCATTGTGTTACATCCAGAGGCAGTTGCCATCAGTTCCTCACACTTGCTGTAGTCTTCTTAGCCTCTCTACTCTGTATGTGCTCTCCATTTCTTTCGCTTTTAAAAATATCTATTTTATGTGTCTGTGTGAGTGCCTGCATGTATGTATTAGCACTGTGTGCCTGCCTGGCACCTGAGGCAGCCAGAAGGGTTTAGGAATTTTTGGAGCTGGAGTTCCTGGCAGCTATTACCTGCCATGTGAGTGCTGCAAACTCAACCCAGGTCTTCTGCAAGAGCAGCAAGTGCTCTAAACTGTTGAGCCATCTTTCTTGCCCTGTGCTCCCCATTTCTTTTCTGTCCTCTTCCCATCTTACTCCTGTGCCCTTTGTGAATGAGTTCTACCTCCTTCTACAAAGTTTCTGCCAAACCCTCTATATGGAAGCATGCCCCTTGTTTGTGGGTCTTGTATAGCCTGGGCTGATATCAGAGGCATGGTGCACATTGCAAAATGCATATCCGGTTTCTTTTCTGCCCACCTGTGCACATCTTCATTCTTCTTACGCAGACTTGCCAGCTACTCAGTAAATGTGTGCTGATGGAATGACTGTCCTTGATGGGAGTTGATGGGAGACATAAATGGAGGCTGATTAGCTTTGAGTAATGCTGGTTTTCCTCTCTGTCCCTTGCTGCAGAGGAGAAGCAGGACGTGACTGTCTTAATATCCCATGAAATGCCTAACTCATTAGTGTATGGGGCTGACTGGTCCTGGCTTCCTTTCCGTTCCATGAAGCCTACACCCACCTGGTCCTTCGATCAAAATGACGTGGGAATGAGATCAGTAGACTGCCACAGCCTGAAGGCTGCAGAGGAGCCACCAGCACCTTTCCATGAACAAATATTGGACCACCATGTGGAAGGCCCTGCTAAAGCTCACAGCGGAGTTGAATTGAAGGCCTCTCTCCTTCCATTAACAGAGGACATGAAAAGCAGCAGCCAACTGCGCTCCTCTTCCAAGATCTGTGATCTCAGCCTCTTTAGTGGAGGGAATTTTGACAATAGCCTCTTGGCCACCTGCTCCTTTTACGACCATGTTCTCCACCTCTGGAAGTGGGAGACAAAGAAAGCTTGAGGCTGCATTCTTCACATCTTTACTGGATGTGACTTGGGGAGTGCTGGCCTTTGAGAATGGACTTTCTGATTCTGTTTTGGCAGAATGGGTTTTCCAGCTCTACAACTAAGTGTCTTGGGTATATTTTGACTTTCAGTCCTTCATTTGCATTTAAGTCCTTATTTGTATTAATTAAATAACTTAAAATTTTTAAAAAAATTACAGTTATACGTATGCATATGTCTGTGTGTGGATGCTGGAAGAAGCCAGAAGAGGGCAGGATCCCCCTGGAGATATGGTTACAGGGTATTGTGAGCCGCCATATGGGTTCTAGGAACCAAACTTGGGTCCTCTGCAAGAATATATGCTCTTACCCAATAAGCTCCTAAACCTTTGAGTTAAAAAAATATGCCAGCCGGGTGATGGTGGCGCACGCCTTTAATCCCAGGCTCAGGAGGCAGAGGGTCGGGAAGGCAGAGCCAGGTGGATTTCTATGAGTTCGAGGCCAGCCTGGTCTATAGAGCGAGATCCAGACAGGCAGCAAAACTACACAGAGAAACCCTGTCTCGAAAAACAAGCAAACAAACAAACAAACAAAAAAAAAATGCCATGTGGTGGTGATGTACACCTTTAGTCCTGGCCCTTGGGAGGCAGAGCAGGCAGATTTGAGTTTGAGGCCAGCCAGGTCTACAGAGTGAGTTTCAGGACAGCCAGGGCTACACAGAGAAACCCTATCTGGAAAAACAAAAAAACCAAACAATTATTTTATGTGTATGAGTATTTGCTGTGCTCCCAGAGGTCAGAAGAGGATGTTAGATCACCTGGACATAGAGTAACAGACAACTGTGAAGCTGTCTTGTGGGTGTTGGAAGAACAGACAATACTCTTAACCTCTGAACCATCTCTAGCCTGCAGCCCCTAATTTTTTTTTTTTTTAATTTTGTGTGAGTATACAAATACCATCGTGCACATGTGGAGATCAGAGGACAACTTGGAGGAGTTGAATCTCCTACCATGTGGGTCCCAGGGATCCAACTCAGGTATATCAGTCTTGGTAGTAAGTACCACTGAGCCATCTTGCTAGCCCCATAGTCCCTCTTTTTAAAGTCTCATTTTATCACATTGTAAGTTATTTCCTAAACAGGTTTTATTTTTTATTTTTTTGGTACTGGAAATGGAACTCAGGGTCCTTTGCATGATAGCTCAACACTTCCCAGCTCTGAACTCATTTTAAATAAAATAAAAGGAGGCATGTAAACGTTGTAAACTGCTTCAGGGAACACAAACTTGAAGTATTTGGCATGGTCAGTATGGGATACTCATCACTTCTTCATAGCATTAGTAACTTCATCAGTTTTCATGTCTAAATAGATGGCTTTATAGGAACACATCAGTGGTGTGTAGCTAGCAAAATTCCCAATGTCTTAAACCTGGGAGGAAAGAGGGCATTGGAATGTGTCTAGCCCTCAGTAAGATACACAAGTGTTCTGAAGAGAAAAATTGTGTTTTATTCTTTTAAATTTTGGCCATCAAATACAGGGACTTGCACATGTTAGACAACTTATGGGTATTTAGTACTGAACTGTACTCCCAGCCTAGCTTTCCCTCCCCTATGCCTATATATTCCAGGTTGATCATAAGCTCACCATGTAGTCCAGGCTGATTGGCTTTGAATTCTTAGACGCCTACCTACCTACCTCAGCTTCACAAATACTGAGCTCATAGGGATTAGGTATTATGCCTTTCTGGCCTTTTAATGCAGGGTCTTAGCTGGGTGTGGTGGTGCATGCCTTTAATCCCAGCACTCAGGAAGCACACTGAAGGTGGATCTCTGTAAGGTTGAGGCCAGCCTTGTGGTCTACATAGTGAGTTCCAGGACAGCCAAAGACATGCCGAAAGACTCATCTTAAAAAGGTCTTGCTACATAGCCCTGGCTGATCTGAAACTTGAAACCCCTTCCTAGTATCTTAAGTGCTACGCCTACAAGTGTGCACCACTATGACTATGCCTTGTTTTGTGGCTTGTGTATGTACATCTGCATGAGTGTGGCAGAGGTCAATCTAGGTGCCACTCAAGATGGCCTTGTCTTTTTTGAGCCAAGGTCTCTTCCTAGAGTCTGAAGTTAGCTGACTAATCTTGACATGACTGGGCAGCAAGCCCAGGAGATCCTCTTGTCTCTTTCAGAGTGCTGAGATTACAAGCATGCGCTACCACACTTGCCTTTTTGCATGGGCTTTACTTGGGTCTTCATGACCACATGGCAAGCACTGTCTGGGCGGAACTCCCTCCCCAGTCCTTGTGTTATTTTCTGATGAAATAACATTTTTTTTTTTTTGGTTGCCATTAAAGGGATCAATTCTCAGTTACTGACCCAATTATTTCAATAAAAGGTGTTAACTACCCTCTGCCTTGGAGCTAGACCTGACTTGGTTGTAATTTGTTAGGGACTCTGTAGCTACTGCATGGATTCTATCCTGCAGCACACTTGAATGACTTGATTCAAAACACACATTGTATGATACTAAAGGTCTTTAATAGAAATGCACAAGGAAGCTGCCCCTACTCTTCAGGATCCAAGGCTTGGTCAGTATTGTCTCCACTTGGTAGGCAAACTTTTGGTCACTGTCACTGTTTTCTAGCGTGGGAAATTCTTAGGATACAACTGGAACAGCTTGCCTTCCTGTGTGGGCTCAAAGCCATATTTCTCCAAGTTGTTAGCATCAAAAGTTCCTTCTTTAAAGTCTTTTTCAATGGCGGGTGCAGCTGTTTCCAGGAAGAGCGCTTTGGCGGTCAGGGGTGTGTCTGTGCCTTCAGGAACTCGGTAATTAACATAGGGCTTGAGCTTGAAGCCAGTCAAGTCCGGAACCACAAATTCTGGGACCATTTCCTTTACCAGCACAAACTTCCCATTAGAGGCATAAATGCCAGTTCTCTTGGCACCCCGGCTCTTGATGAAGGTGCGTGGTCCCCGCTTGCTTGTCCACTTGCTCATCCTGTCCGCTCCTCGCACCAGGCCTTGAGTCACGGCGGTCAGGAAACCCATGCTAGGCTCTGCAGAAGACAACTCTGAAAGAACAAGGCAGTTGGGGGGACAATCAGAGCCAGAGGGACTCGGCACCCTAGAACTCACGAGCGGAGAGTGCTGTGGGCCCTACGGGTGCAGATGATCGGAGGAGCCACGGGTGCTGAGGACCCAAGACCGCACAAGTGAAAACTACCCCTAATCCTGAAAGATCCCAGACCCCAAAGAACCCCGCGCGGGCGGCGCCAACTGGAAACGCTCAAACCGACCTGGACCGATGGCTCTCGAGCTCGGCCCGCAGGCCTCTTGTCCCACACCTGAGACACGGATGCCCGACCTGAGCTGTGTAAAACAACCTCGGCAAGGTCCTCCCTTGCGTTTCCAGCCGTCGGCAGGGTCAGCCACTCCGCAGCAAGAGCCTCGCCGATTGGTCGCCAACGCGCCCAATGCTCAGGCTCGGCCGGGCGGAAGGGATGTGGCAGGAGACTCGGCCAATCCGCGCAGCCGCGCAACCGCGCAGAACCGGATGTGGGGCGCGCGCAGCCGTGCATGTTCACCCTGCCGCCAGGTGGCAGTCTAGGTCTGTCCTGTGGAGAGGTCGCTCTCGGCCCTCGTCAGCTCCGCGACCGGACGTTCACCACCGCTGCGCCGAAGGCCGGCTGCCGGACTGGCGCGCGCATCCCCGGTGCTGCCCTAGGTGTTGGGGGTCGGGGCTTGTGGACCCTCCCAGTCACCACCGAGCCGTGGCTTCCGGAGTTGACGCGCTGTTGAGGACTGGGCCAGTGACCGGCGGTCTAGCCCACGGTCTGGCGCGTGGCCGAGTCTACTTGGGTCCTAGTGGTCCTCTAGTTAACCATCTTTGGTCCCTACACACCCACCGTGCCTGCGCTGTCTGTCCACACGCTGCCCGCTGTGGCTGGGCCCCTCCAAACCCTTCACCGCTCTCCTTGATAACCCTTGCTGTCACGGCTCTCCTCCGGTGATCCCTCCACGACTATAACCACCTTCCCGTCCCTCACCGCTCCTAATCGAGACCCCTTCTGGGCTGTGACCCGTCTTGGCCCAGCTCTTTCTTGAGCTGTAAGCCCTCCTACGCCGCATCTCTTGTCTCTCCCTCTGGCGACATCACGCCTCCCGGGTGAGGCTCACCCTCCAGCCGGTCACCCCTCCACTTTGGTGACTTCTCTCCTCGCCTCCCTCTTCTTTGCCTGTTGCTCCGGCTCGCTCCTGAGCTGCTTTCTTAGCTGTACCACCAAGCTCAGCTGTCCCAACCTCGTTGAACTGTTAGCCAACTTACACTCTGGTCTCCTCCCCCACCCCCAGCCGCGCTGTCCCCGCGTGGCTGCTCTGTCCCTAACTGTGCCACTTAATCCCCCACCCCCCACCGCCACTCTCACCCCCACCCCGGGCACAGTTGTGGGTTCCCCTTAGACCACGTGAGGGCTGTTTACAGGAGACGGAAGCACACAGAGAGCAGGCGCTTCTGGAAAACAACTTGTTTTGGAGCACAGAGTTCTGGAGTCCCTTCCAATAAGAGCGTTTGACTTGGAAAGGAGCTGGCAAGGCTGGAACTACAGCTGTCCTGCTGTAAAGGTTCCGGTAGAGCAGTTTGTCTCAGCCTGTCTCCTGTTCGCCCTCCACATTGCTTTGCTTTCAGTCATGCAGAAAGAGGACGATGTCTGCCTTGAGGTAGGTAGACCAGGCCTGGGTGAGAACCAGAACCCTTAGAACTCACAGGCGGGCATTTCCAGAGAACAGAAGGATCCTTTGCCTTGGGTTTCTACAGAGGTTTCTTGAAGACCCAGAAAATGTGGGAGTTGTGACTCGATCTATTTCCCTGTCAGAGCTCTGACATTTGTCTCTAGACAGTGGTTCCTCACAGTGTGGTGTGGACAATGGAATCTGGCTGTTAAGCCCTCTTTTTTTTCCCAAGGTCACAGTTGTTACTTCCCGTTTTCTCTTAGAACGTTGGTATTTGAAGAGTCTTTTTCTCAGTTCAACGCTAGCTACATCCCAAAGGCCTTTATTAGTAGTAGTATTTTGATGGTGGTTTCTTTTGTTTTGTTTTTGAGACAGGGTCACTCTACATATCTCTAGAACTCACTATGTGATCAGGATGGCCTTGAACTCCCAGAGATCCACCTGCCTCTGCCTCCCAAGTGCTGGGACTAAAGGGGTCTGCCAATATACCCTGTGCCTTTA